CCGCGAGAAACTTACTCCCTGCAGCGAGCCAACTCATTTCCTTCACCATGATTGTCAAGAATTTCAACTTTCCTTCTCTCCCCAGTCTATTTACAACCCCCCTCCTCTGAAATTCCTAAGAAAAGAGTGTTTTCAATAAGTCTTGACAGTATCATCAGTGTCATAAAAGAAATTACTATATTTGAGAACTAAAACTAATATTTAATATTTCACTTTCAAATATAATTTTTTAAAAAGAACACATGTACGTAAAACAGCATTACCAGTATTTAAGTTTAGGTGGTTCTTCTCTACTTCACTCTAAGCAGTAGTGAGTTTTCAGAAAAGCTGCTGGACTGGGACTCAGAATTCCCGGGTTCTGTTTATAATTTCATAGATTCTTAAACTTAGGCAAGTCAGCGTTTTCCCTACTTGGGAAATATCTTCATCAATAAAATGAGTCTGATTTCAAAGATCTTGCCCAGTTTCATGTTGGCTTCTACTTCAATGAAATATTAACATAAATAATAAATGTTTGTTAAGTGAACCACTGAAGGAGTACACCATGTCTCTCTAGGAACTATTTATATCTAATATTTGGAAATATGTAGAAAGAAATGCCCCTTGGTTATGAAAGGATGCTTAATCAGGTTGCACTGCATCACTCTGCTTGCAACTAATGATGCAGCTGCAATAAAGTGGAAGGCCCTCTCCCCCTCTTAAGACAGCTCATCTCAATGTTCCTCTTTGGCATAGAGAAGGACAATTTGAGGCCCCAGAAGGAAAGGATGTTGCCCAAGACCAAGCAAGAATTACAGATTGGGGAGGAGTATCATGATGTCTGGTTCAAGGCTCTTCCCCCAAGAAAAAGGAGGGGGAAAGGAGAAAAATTCCAACGATGACTGCCAGAGCTACAGGTTGTCTCAGTGCCTAAGTTTATAAAATGTCCAGAGTCCTTCTTGGAGAGGAAGAGCTGAAACAGATAAACAATCCTATGATCTGAGTTTAATAGGGAAGGAGGACGGGAGAAGTGGGGAGCTTTCCCTTCTCAGATGGCTCTGTTGGCCTATGTGATCATCTCTATTCAGAATTTGGCCCGGCGGTGGCACCCTGTGTTGATTCCCTCTGCAGCAGGCTGGGACTGAAGAGACAGGGAAAGCAAGCTGGAATGTTTTGTGGAACTGGCACATGGCTTGGTCAATTCTTTTTTCTACTCTCATTCTCTCCTTTTCCTGCCTCATCTCCCCTGAGAGACAGCATTTGGCACTTTCCGGCAACAGCAGACATTCACATGTTGCAAATGGAGTCCACACGGACACTCGGGTCCAAGGGACCTTAAGATAACAAAGAAATGAGATAATGAAGGCAAAACCCAATACTTGGCCATTAATAATTCTGTAGGAAGGTTATCTGAATTCCAGTGAATGGCAGAGGTGGAAGGGCCCATATGGTCCACCCCTTTTAACAATGAGGAAGGGAAGATTCACAAACAGGTGACATGCCTTGCAACAGATCTAGATCAGAACCCAGGCCTACTAGGTCTCAGGCCAGACTCAGTTCATCTCTCCTCTGTTTCTCAGGAGCCAGTGTTCCTGCATTGCTGTCTTCTGTTCTCCTGCCTCCCTGGCCCTTGCCTGCAGCTTGGAAGGCTTAGGCACCCTTTGGTGGACTCCCACTCCCAGCTGAGGCTGGGCCTGGAAGTGCCTTTCTGACACTGATTCCTTTTCTGCTTCCTTCGGGCCAAAAGTACACGTTAAAACGTCATTATCTGACTAAGTGTAAACCTCAGTAGGAGAAGGGTTTTGTTGTTTATCTCCATAACCTAACACTGAGCTGGCTTTCCAGAGTCCAGGCAAGTATCTTGCTAGTCACCACCCAGAAAGTCATTCTCTAAGCAGTGAAGCAAAGCTCTGTCTGTAAACCATGCATCCCCTAGGAGAACTCCCAGTCCTCCCACACAGGCACACTGCTGCATGCACACACTCCACCCTCGCACCAAGAGCATTTGAGCTAGGAGCCTGGCAGGCGGACTCCAGTCCTGTAGCAAAATTGGCGCATCTACATACACGGGGAGGCGGAGAGGGGTATAGAGACACAGAGAGGGTCTGGACCACTGCTTGGGAATCTGGAATGACACCCAGTCCGGAATGGCCAGGAGGGAGGGGCGGGTGTAAGAAATCACTAGGAGGGACCCAGCTCCTAAGCGAGACCCCTCCTGGAGAAGCCCTCCGCAGGAGCCCCACTAACCGCTCGCCTGCCGCGGGTTGGAGGGGGAGTAGCTCGGAATAAACTGACGCAGCCTGGATTTGAGCTTAGCAAAGCCCCCGCC